ATATTTTATGAGGGAGTGATAAAGTAATTGCAAAATTAATCATAAGGGAAAATACTGGAATTTGAAATGTAGTCAGAGGAATCATTACAGTTCATTAGTTTATGTGTAAATACTCATGTTTTCCAGTAGAATTATAAAATCCAATTGAAGTGAAATGGTTGTTTTTATTGAAGGCATTTTGCCATTATGATCAGATGGAATTTAATTTGTTTACAGATTTTGTATTGGGCTGATCCACAAGGACTAACAGACAAGGGAGGTTAGTTCTCTGTATAACTGCAGTTTTTATTAAAACGATACTAATGATCAAGGAAGACACTGATAAAACAAATCACTTGTTGGTGTTTTAATGATTTACCAAAAGCATAGTGTTAGAGCTTTTGACATAGGTGGCAATTATATAAAATTGATCTAAAAATCTGGGGCCAAATTTAGGTTTTGTGCACTTCTCACACATGAATAGAGAAAAGAAGCACATATTGTACATGAATCCATGCTAATATAAATATGTTCATAACAGTTGTTTTGAATTAGATTAGCCATGGATTCATGTACAATCCCTCTCTCATTTAATTTATTCATGCCAAGGGCAGCAATAATATGCACAAGATGGAGCTTGGCCAAAATGGGAGGTATGTTATGTTTGCCTCCTTGGAATGCCCCAATCTGCAGAAGTCATGTGGAGCATGAACTCTACAGTAACCATCCTGGCTGAATATTTTTTGCTTAAGTGCAACCTGAGGCCTGAATATTGCCCTCCGAAACTACATATGAAATTGAAAACACTGCAGTCGCAGTAACTTAGAGATGCTGGTTGTGAACAAATGAATTCTGAGTATTCAGATGAGTTTGTAACAATTCTGATCCTACCAATTATCTCTATTTTATTACTATTAATATTATTTTATTTCTATTGTTTCTAATTATATGTATTATGGTAGCGCTCTAAAGCTTCATTCAGGATGGACTACGGTCTCATACTGAATGCTGTACAAAAACATAGGGTATGTCTAAACTACCTTTTTTTTCGAAAGAGGATATGCAAATGTTTGTAACAATTCTGATCCTACCAATTATCTCTATTTTATTACTATTAATATTATTTTATTTCTATTGTTTCTAATTATATGTATTATGGTAGCGCTCTAAAGCTTCATTCAGGATGGACTACGGTCTCATACTGAATGCTGTACAAAAACATAGGGTATGTCTAAACTACCTTTTTTTTCGAAAGAGGATATGCAAATTCCATGGGAGTTTGCATATCTTTCTTAAAAAAAGGAAGTTTACATGGTTTTTTGAAAAAGGGTTTTTTTTTTCTGGGAAAAAAAAGTGCCCAGACTACTTTCACTTTCAAAAGACTCACTTTAGAAAAAGTGATTTGCATATTCTCTTTCGAAAAAAACCATAGTTTAGACGTACCCATAAAGACATGGTCCTTGCCTTTGAAACGCAATCTAACTGAAAGACAAAACACCATGCTCCCACAATAGGAAATATAAGGGAGGGAAGATGAGAATAATAGTAAGTAATAAGATCATGTTTTTACTTAAGATGGCTTTATCTATAGCCTGATGGTTTCAAATAATATACAAATAACTAATTATTGATAAAGTCCTACTCTTCCGTATTTCAGTGGTTAATAACTTTAAGTAGACTTTGAAGTTCCAGCCTGTATCACACAGCACATAAATGTATAGAATACAGGCTTATATGTATATAAGTATCTCCTTCTCTAGGGGTGTCTGTGTCTGATATCTGCTTTTGATTTCAGTTATCTACTACATTTTATATTTTCCTCAATTTTTTTGAATCATTCATGTCTGATTCAACTCCCACAGAAGGTCCATTTGCTTCAGAAAGAATTGGACAGTGTCTTAAAAAATAAATACATAACTTCTGATAACAATATGTTTTTATTCATACTCAGGGAGGGGCCAACAGCCTTGCTGGGCCCCTGGGCAAGGTGTGGGGGCCCTAGCTCCGTGCTCTCGGAAGAAGCAGGGTCTTGGGCAGGGTCTAGAGACAACCAGCCCTCAGCGCCGCTCGGAGAGCGCTGTGCTCCCACGCTCTAGCACTGCCCAGAGCACACTGCGCGGTGCTCCAGTGGTGGCCAGGAGTCTCGGGCCCACTGCCCCCTCTTCCGCCTTGCACCCCCAGCAAGCCTTCTGATTAGGGATGTAGTAGTGTAATCAATTAGCTGATTGACCGATAAGCAAAAGCTTATAGGTTAATGCCATAGGCTACATGCATTTCCCTCCACCCCCCTGCCAGTAAATTTTTTTGGCAGGCTGGACAGCAACCTGGCTCAGTCCTGGCTTGTGATGGATCCGGGACATATCCCTGCTGCAGCTCTGCATTTAAAGTGTATTAGGAATTGGGCGGGCAGGCAGGCAGGCAGCTTGGCTCAGTTCCTGCACCCTAGACAGGGGCCTCTGCCATGCTGCACAACTGCCTCTTTTTCAGATGCAGCAGCACAGGGTGACAGGCAGCCAGTCTGCAAGGGGAGCTGGTTTTTAAACCGGCTTTCCTGGTGGACCAGCTCTTGCCTGGCACCCTGTACTGCTGTTTCTGATACAGAGTCAGCAGTGCAGAGTGACAAGGGGCTTCTTGGGAATAAGGTGGAAGTGGACTGACTGCTGGGCCTGCCCCCGGGGACTATAGTCGACTAACCAATAAGAATTCATGGGGTTATTTGACTATTCAGTTAACCGATGTTTAACATCCCTGCTTCTGATACTTGATAGAAAAGGTGTACGATTTCACATTGTGTACTTTAGGAAGAGGATACATTTCCTTACAGGAAAGCCAAATGTTATTTAATTACTTGAATACATATAATGATTGCCAGGGTACATAATGTACGAAGATAGTTACTGGTCAATATTTTTTTGATCCAGTAATATCAATGCTATAGAATAATGTAAGTGTAACATGTGAATTTTATTTTACATGACATTAAAGTCAATGGATGAAAATTCTGGAAATGACTTCAATTTGCAATTGACGAGATTGATTGTGTTTTTTGTTGCTGTAACACAACATTATGTGAGGAGTTTAAGCATTTTACAGAATTGCATGTATTCTGTCTCATTTAAAGAAAATGCACATTAAAATCTATATGTTCAACAATGAATTTTTAAATAGTATTATAATGCATTCCGTTAAACCAGTACTAAAATATAGCGTTGTAAGAAGCAGAATGACTGTAATGATATACTTCAGCAAAACAAACAGTGGATTTTATATGAAGTGTGGCCTTGTGGTAGAGATTTTCTTTCTTTAAAGGCCTGATGAAAAGCATGTCTAACTTAATGGAATGACTCCCATTTACTTCACCATGGGCTGTAGATCAGGCTAAATGTGTAGTTGTTTGTATATTAGTTACATTTCTCCTTTGTGAGTACTGCTGTTGCTGTAAATACTTAATGTTGTCTGTGAAGTGCTTAGCTCTTGACTTCATTTTCCATTAAGGTTGAATTATCAATGACAAATAGTTATAAGACAGTAATTAACCATGGATTTTAGGAAAGTCTGCTTAGTTGTTCTTCTAAATGTGTTAATTTTTCATGACAGAGAAGTTGGCATGGTTTGATGGAACAGAACTCAGCTTCAAACCCAGGTCTTTATGATCTTTGATTAATTGTTATTACATCACTCACTCCACTTTGCCTTCTGGAAAAGACAAGAAAAACTGGCAGAATACAATTCATTTATTCTTTGTAACTTTCCCAGCTGATAAAGTTAAAATTAGTTTCATTAGTCATGGTAAAAACACACCCAATAAATAGTGACATTAAGCTAAAGTCACTGATTTCTTTCTTTTATATAGGCAGTATACAGAGTCATTTCTATGTGGATAGTCAGTTGTGTAAAAGCAGCTGTCCCTGATAAAACAAATTTAGCAGGACATGACTAACTATGGAAAATTTGGAGTGGGGAAACCATGTCTAGGACAAAAAAGAAATTTTGTTATGAGAACAAAATATTTTTGTATTGATATGAATGAAATGCCAGCTTAAATGCTAAGTCAAATTTTAATGACAAAATGTCCAGAGATAAAGGTTAAGCTATTTTTCTGTAGTTGATAGTACCATTTCAAATTTAAACTTCTAATTGCAGCAGTCATGCATCTTTAAATGTTACTAAATTACATTGTGGTATAACAAAAACATTTTTCAAATGAGAACAATGTTAGTAAATGTTGTTATCCAATTGTAATTTTACAATTTACTCAATAGTTGTTTTAGGGATAAGAGATCAATTGTATTCAATATAAGTTTTTCTTTATTAGTGATTTTTAAAAAAAGAATGACATATTTGTCAGAATTATATAATTTATGCTTAAACTCAAATTATATTGATGTGGCCAGAGAAAAAGGGTTCTTAAAAGTCATGTGATCTCTACACTAAATGTAAAAAATATGTTTTAAAAGTTAATTATT